ATATATATATATATATATATATATATATGAAAAAGAGGATGAAACGTTGCTTTTATTATATATATTTCACCCTTTTTTCCATCAGAGCACTACTAAATCCCCCCTCGTTGGTCCCGAAGGGAGGGCTATAAGCCGGCTTTTAAGATCCCCCTTCATCTGGGGAGGAGGGTTGCGGGCGTGCGCCTTGCTCGTCTTCGGTTGGGAAGAAGCCGAGTTCCCGCGACTCTTTCCAGCCGGTCCCGCTTCCCGAAGAAACGCGGCGGAAGCGGCCTTCGGCGCGTCCTCTGCAGCCTCCTCTGCTTCCTTGGAACGGCAGCTCCAGAGAACTCCATTAGGCGCCTTCCAAGTTAAAAGTCTGGCTCCACTGTGATTCCTTCCTTCCTTCCTTCCTTCCTTCCTTCCTTCCTTGGCAGTTCCCGTTTAATTCTTTTTCCTATCAGAATTTCACTCCCTTCGAATGGGGGTGGGGGGGATAGATATATTTCCACTCCTTTTTCGTAAAAGCATGAGAATCTTCTCTCTGTTCATTACAAGACCTTTTTAAAACACGCGACCATCGTGGGCCAGATGTACAATTCTGTTTCTTTCCTGATGCACTTTTTAAAAATCTTACTGTTAAAAGAAGCAGCAGCCTGCCAGAGAATATCATTTCTTAAATAAAAATTGTAAGGAGGTTTTGCAATGGGGAAGGACTAAAGGATTTTGTCTTTTTTAAAAAATTACACTGAAATATAAAACACAGAATAAATGTTTTATATATTTGCACAGAAACAAACAAATGTTCTTTACTTGAATAAAAGGCATCTCCATATATAAGAACATACATTATATTTCACATGAAACCGTTTATTTTTTAATTATTTATCGAATTAGAGCTAATAATAATTTGTTCCTATTAGAAAATGTATAGTCTTATACAAGTAAAACATACATAATGGCTCCAGGCTCTTACTTACCTGGGAGTGAGTCCCACTGAATTCATTAGTTGTACTTTTAACATGTAGTAGAAGTAAAAAAAATAAACAGCGATGGTAGGATACGCATCTCTACGAGAAAATAGAGCCACATTGATAACAACATTTTCCAGTGGTATGAATTCGGTGGAAGCATAAAACCAATTTCTAGGTGGGAGGGGTGTTAGTTAATAATGAATGTTTAGCAACAATCATCCTATTTCTGTAGTGGAAGTAGCGTTTTAGCTTGAGGTCTCTTCCGCATTTTCACGGGCGAAATCTCTCATTCGCTCCGTGGAATTAACTTGCAAGTAACGCTCAAATGGGCAAACTGGATTTAAAACACAGACCCACGATTATATTCTTCTAGAATCGCCCGACATACATTCCTGGTGTTCGTGTGTGTGTCTATTTCATACTTCTTCCACGACAATCTCGCCTTCTAATTTAAGAAAGAAGAAAAACAACTGTAACTTCTTCACACAGCTTAAGCAATCTATAACTGAGAGGAAATCCACCCATTTCCTGGGGGTCAGAAGCGCTTCCTCGCCCTGCTCAGTTACCTCGGTCAATTGCGACGCCGAGATTCAGTCGCTGTTTCGACACTTCGCTCGGCCAAGATCTCCCGCAAGAAAAATATGTGTAGAAAATCTCCCTTGATTGTGGAAAGCGCCAAGTCGAATTAATCCGAGATTCTTTCCATTCTCCTTGGCTGCTAACAAAAGTCTGCCCCAATATCTCGGCCGACTCTCTCTCGCTCTCTCGCTCGTTCTCTGCCTGTTTATCTCGAAAAGATTGTAACACGGTTTTTTTTTCTACCCATGCTAACTTCATAAATAACAGGCACCGACCACCCCTATCACGGAGCGCGCTTTTCCACCTATTAAAAGCTTTAAAAATATTCTGCATGCCTTGATACTGTTATATTAAAGGACCGCGGCCCCAAGAAATAACAGAGACATTAATTCTCCTTTCGAATTGCAATTCCCTCAAAAAACTACGTTGTTGGTAGTAATGACAGCTGTAAGTATAAAAACGATTTCCATAAGGTCCTAATAAATGCAGCAACTACAAGTAAGGTGTATTTTAAAACCAGAATTAGGTATTCCCAATTATTTCCATTTTACAGGCAGATAAATTAAGGCTAAGGATGACTATTGAAAGCCCTGGATGGTCTCATATTTGAACTCAGTTCTGAGTCCCAAGTAGAGTCACTGAATTTTCCTGATTGTTTTTGCATGTTTTCCTTTGGAATTATTTAAGATTTTCACCCACTACAAACAAAAGTTTGTGTGTGTGTGCACGTGTGTGCACATACAAATAAACTGATTTGATTTTTGTTTGAAGGAGTAAAACAAATAATATTGAAAAGGAATTTATGGGAAGTATAGTAAGCCATAATGATCATGTGTGGAATGTTTGTATGTAATTTGCAACATATTTATATTTAATTTTAATTTGATGAATTTCTGGACCCCAGTCAAAAATACTTCTCTTGTAAATCCATCCTGTTTGCTTCAGAGGAAACTTACTTTCAGGTAGGAAGATAATGATATTGTATACAATGACTAGATTAGTTTTGTCCAAATACAAATCATGCCATCCAGCCTAAGTTATGCACTTTTAAGAACCTTCAACTTCAAAGGAGAAGAATTAAAAGCAGTCTAGACCACCTATGTGCTCCCATTTAAATGAATCAAATTGCAAAGTGTTTTACTTTGGCTCCTGATGCTGAGAACATGAATTGATCAACATATAGCATCCGGAAATTAATGATACTCTCATACAGAGAGAATCCCTCTTAATGTGCAGGTCAGCGTTATGTGTATTCATTTACTTAGAAGTATGTCTGGGGCTCTTTACCCAGTACAGTATGCAAAAACATTGCAGCCTTAAACTCTGCTCTTAAATACATCTCCATTTAGATAAGAGCCTCTGGCCACATTAAGTAAAGTCCAGATACTATGCTACTTGTGTAAACATACCTAATAATACTTGGCAGTTCTATCATGTTTTATAAGGGTTCCAAGCACTCGGAGGCATCATCTGAGTCATCCTCCCAAGAACTCATTTTGCAATGGAAGGGAGGATTGTGAGGCCGGTGGTGCCTTGCCCAAGACCACCTCCTTGGTCCACGGCAGAGGCAAATCAGAAACCAGACATTTCCACAACTTTTCCACTGTTCTACAATAGCTTGAGAGGAAGCCCCATTAAATTCAAGGGTGGTTTGAGAAAGGTTATCTAGGAACAGCAAAAACTTCTTACAGCCGAAAGCAACTTAAACAGCTAATCTTTCTGTTTCATTTCACTTTTCATGTAAGTTTTTATTTAAATAAACTGTGCATCAATCAAAGGCACTAGGGCAAATATTTTTTAAAAACACATTGTTTTAAGATACGAACTCTTAAACAGGCTTATTCAAATTTCAGACCAAAAAGACATTTGTATAGATGGAGGTAATTTATTAAGAACCACTTTGTTAATGCAAGTAAAAAGAAGTATGTAAAACATTCTGATTAAAAAAATAATAAGATGTAAAATATTTTGATTAATGTCTTTATGTGGCCACTGACCAACCATTCATTACTGGCAGCTGAATATTAGACTCTGTTGTTAGCTATATCTGATATCCTTTTCCAATGGTTTTGTGTGAGCTGATACCTTGCTCACCCCATATATTTTTTTTATCTGCACAACAACCTTGTAGGATAGACTAGCTTGAGAAATAGAAGCTAAATTTCAACAGCATGCTAGATTAAAATAAAATGGGATTGGGTAATTCATTAGAACTGTGCAGTGATTTAGATTCAGAAGCAAAAAAAAAAAATCTTTTAGAGTACAAGGGAGCACATGGCTTTTGCAGTTGTTTTTTTTGCTTCCAAATCACTGTTTAACCTTATGGCTAAGACAAGATAAAAAACAAGATATGGTTGATAGATTCAGTAAGTTGTGAGAACCTAACCATTGTCTCAACTTGTTGAGTGAGCCAGGCCATTAACCACAGTATGTATATTTGAGCATTCTATGTCATCTGAATGTTGTATTATAATAATCCAGGTTCAAGATTTTTTGTGTTGTGTGAACAAAGCCTATGACTGGCCCAGAATAATTCCAGGAATCTCTCGATTGCCAGGAGACATTACCTCTAATCCTAGCTTCACACACTGGCTATTGCACTTTGGACTGGAAATTAAATATTTGGAGGGCACTGTTGAAAGGTATAGAGAAGGGCTAAGGATCACTTACTGCTTGGGTCCATGTAACAGTCACAAAAGGCTAAAATGAAAAGAGATGATCTGAGATTTAACCTATTGTAGGAGTCCAATTATTATCTTAACATTTTGTGTGAACCAGGACATCATGTTAAGTCATAATCAGGTTTGTTTGTGTTAGCAAGTATGTGACCACAGCAATTATTTTTGTTAACTGAGGTTTAATGCTTAGTGCATTGTGTAGCCCCAGCTATGGCTTTGTGCTTTTGTGTGTCAGCTGTTCCAATTGTATCTTTTTCGTATTACAAGGCTCAATTCTGTTTCTGATTCATATAGAAATTCAATTCACATAGGATGGCCTTCAGTATGGGGCTGACCCTGCCTCATTCCCTAATTCCATGTTGCTGTGATATGATGGATGATGTTTAGGGAAGGCTGTGTTAGAGGTATATTAAACATAATGATATTTCATTCTCTATAGATTTATTCTCTTCCTTCTTTCCTTGAGATTCACAACTTGTCCTTATCTGCTGCAAGCCTTTGCAAGAGGACAAGCTATACATTGTTCATTCACCACTCAGTACAGCAGAGAACATGTCATTGTCATAAATAGATTATCTCATAGTCCTTCCCTTTTAATTCCTGCTGCCATCGTTTCCCTCTCTTCCCTCTGTTGCTTCTGTTGTGTCAAATTTTAGATTATAAGTTCTTTGGGGCAGGGAAAAATACTGTTCTGGTACATGTGAACTAGACAGGGCTGTCAAGTTTGTTTGCTTTATTTATTTATTTAGATGTAGGTGCCGCCCGACTCCAGAATGACTCTGGGTCGCTCACAATATCAAACAAACAAGATAAAAAACACAATACAAAATAAATAAACAAGATAGCTTTCATACAATCAATACATTCCATGTACAAAGACTCATCTAAGGTGGAGGGGAGCATGTGCCCTACCCCAAGGCCTGGGAGAAATATGTAAGTTTCTTGACTATACAGTATATGAACTCTAAGCAATAACGCAGGAACTAATATATCACTGGCACTATCTGAATATTAGCAGTGGTGCAGGCAGGTTTTTATCACTTTACTCTGCACAATTCCTTCTACAGATAATAACTTTTTTAGAAAGTGAAAATGGTGCTTGTAATATCTATCTATCTATCTATCTATCTATCTATCTATCTATCTATCTATCTATCTATCTATCTATCTATCTATGGTAGATCCTGGGCTAAAGAAAAAGGAGATCCAGCTCTGTGCAGAATGTTGGTACAGGATTGCCAGGAGATCCACTGGGTGACCTTGGATCGGTCATTACTGTCTTGCAACAGTCGTGGTGGATGCTCACCCTTCCTTTCCTCCTCCCTCCCTCCCCCTCCCTCCCTTCCTTCCTTGTCAGTTTTAATGCAGGGGTAGGGAGTTCAAAGCCCACATGTGGGAAATAAGCCATCCCACTTTGGATCTCTGCCACTAAAAAGTTGCTCCTTCCCGTTTTGATTAAAATGGCTGAAATTTTGCTATGTTTTATTCTTATGCTTGCCTTACAGATTTTGATTTTATTTTCCATGGGTTAACCCAAAAGCTTTCTTGAAACTAATTACCTTAGGCATCTTCCTGTATGAGCCATCTTCACTATTATTTTTAATAGGGAGAATAAACCAACAATGTTGAGGCTGTAAGTCTATACTTTACCTTGAGCAGGATATAAATGTAACAATGAAATAAAGTAAAATTAATGAATATGACTATATGCCATCCAACTAATTTTTCCAGCTTTCATCACAAACAAGGTCTGCTTTCTTTTAAAACTTGGGGCAAGAACTTATTTTTTCTACATATGAGAAGCCAATGCAGGTGGGCTCCCTTTCTTCCATGAAGGGAAGAAGCTGTCCATTTGGGTGGGGAAACACTATTCTCAGTTCTTCCGCCTTTTAGCAAAATACTCAGAGAGTACATCCACCATCTCCTTTTTATTATGGGCAGGATGTCCTTCAAGCCCCTACGCTAAAATAACAGCTATTTTTAATGTTGCCTTTTGCACAAAAGACCTCTAAGACTCATAAACTTAACATGCAAAATGAAATGTATTACCATCAAAGGACAAAAAATTGTACTAAAACAAGGCTGAACAGGAAACATATCTAAAGGCAGTAAATAGATGGCATCTGGAACTGACTAACCACCACCACCACCACAAGGTAAAAGATGACCTTCATCATTTGGCAAAGGGAGATGGAAGAGGTCAAACTCCAAGGGAGGGAATTCCAGGGTCTGAGCAATGCTGCAGAAAAAAGGTTTTGTAGCATGGACGCAGTGATTCGACTGCAGAGAAAGAAAGGAAGCAAGGTGAAGACACCAAAAACTTCAACTGATGGGCAATGTCCACATGGAAGGAGGTCGCTTTTATAGGACGCTGAATCAAGCTGTTTTATCAGCCATAACAACACATTTTGAACTTCTCCCTCTGTATTCATGTCACTTTTTTAAGGCATTTTACACATTTTTCCTCAGAAAATTCTACTGAACTCAGTAGGGCATATTGGTGTGGAAACGTGCACCACAGCTACACAGTTAATTATTTATTCTTTCAGTTTGTCACCCACACTTCTCTCTGTTGGGTGTTCTGCCAGCTGAAAGGGAACCAGGTATGGAAGATTACAATAGTACCCTAAGGAGATAGAAGAGGTGATCGTTTTGTTTTACAGTATTTTACTGTCCATATTTTGGAAATGAATGATAGAAAACCAGTAGATCTTGGAGGCCCAACATCTGTGCCTGCTTGCCTGCTATCATCCTTGAAGGCTACATGGTAATGGGTTATTATTATTTTTTTATATAGCGATACTGCTCTCTTATTGCCCTGTTGACCTTTAAACCTTCCTGTTGCATTGACATCTCATCACATGTCCAGTTCCAGGCAAGGCCACTGAAGAATGGCTCAGGGCAAAGAACCAAGTTGCTCCTTTTCCAAAACAAAATGGCTGCCTGGGATTCTGGGATTCCTCTACTGGAGCAGCATACAGGGAATTCACATAAAAATACGTTGTTAATGTTTTAAAAATTGTAT